TATACTTTGTGAGGCCTTAGACAAAACTCAAACATGAGGCCCCCACTAACACCCAAAGTTAAAAAAATAAATAAATAGGGGTTGCATTATGTGTATAATGTATTGAAGGACAAGCTTGCAGTGCTGGATACAGAGAGCTAGTCTCTGTATTCATTGTTCAGAGGCTCGCAGTATAGCGGCTCCCTGTGCCGCTACATAACTCTCTGACTGTTAACTTTCTGACTGTACTTATGGCAAACTAAATTAATTTGCAATATACAAATGTAATTAGCAATTATGTTAATCATTTTTACACAACTGCGGGGTATGGTTACACAGCCTTGCATTTGTGTATACATAAGTGCTGGTGTGTGTATTTCTGAGTGTATCTGACATTGTCTACCTGTGTGTGACAAGGTTTGGGGTGAGTGTGACACAGTTAGAGGACAGGATTGTAAGGTTTTATGTGGTAGGGTGAGTGTGACAGGGTGAAGGGGGTGAGTGGGACAGACTGATGGATGATGACTATGACAAGGTTGGGGGGTGAATGTGACAGTGCAAGAGAAGGTGAGTCTGACAGGATTGGGGGAGTTAATGTGATAGGGTAAGTGTGGCAAAGCAAGGGCAGATGAGTTTGATATGGATGGACAGTGGGGACTGAAAGTGTTTGGGAATGGTGATAGTGTATATGTAGGGGGTGACAGTGTGTGCATGTGGGGGTGACTCTGTGTGAAGGGGGTGTCAGTGTGTGTAGTAATGATAGGGTATGGGTGGGGATGACAAGGTGTGTGGAAGAATGCTGTGACAGCACATGTGTGTGTGTGTTTGTGTGCGTGCACAGTGGGCTGTGACAGGTGTGTGTAGGGAGGCTGTGATTGGGTTGGTGTGTGGTGACATGGTGTGGTGGGGGCTGTGATAGGGTAGGGGGCTATGATAGAATGGGGGTTGTGACATAGTAGGGGGTGCTGTGACAGGTTAGGGGGCTGTGAGAGGGTAAGGGGCTGTGAGAGGGTAAGGGTGTGGGGGAGCTGTGACATGGTAGGGGTTGTGGGGGCTGTGGAAGGGTAGGGTGGTGGGGAAGCTGTGACAGGGCAAGGACTAGCAGGGGGCTGTGACAGGACAGGGGGTGGTGGGGGAGCTGTGACAGGACAGGGAGTATTAGGGGGCCTGTGACAGGGTAGGGGGTGGTGGGGGAGCTGTGACATGGCAGGGGGTGGTAGGGGAACCGTGACAGAGTAGGAGGTGGTGGAGGGGCTGTGACAGGGGGTCATAAATACCTTTTTAATATATTGATTCCCTGATTGTCCGGTGTGCTAGCTGCCTCCCTAGTGGTCCCATGGGCTGACTCAACCTGGTGGTCTGGTGGGCTCCCTATCCGGTTTGCAGCTCCACCAAGTTCAGAGCTGCAGACCACGTGGTAAGTCGCGCAATCTCCAGTCAGAGCATTGCCATGGTAACGCGCAGCAATGCTCTGATTGGCTGAGATCATGAGACAACTCAGTCTGCAGCTGTGCACCTCGCAAACCTGCAGACTGAAGGCTTGCTCTCAGTCAGGGTAGACTGACTGGAGGGGCCTCGCGCTCGGCAGCATTATGGGCAAGCCGCCGAGCCCCTTCCTGTGTCGTGCCCTTGGTCATAGACAAAAGACCCGACATGTCAGTCTTCCCTAAGGCAAATTAGGAGGCCGCGAGGCCCCAGACCATGCGAGGCCTCAGGCGGCCACCTAAATCGCCTAATTAGAGAGCATCCTCTGGTGGTGTTCTCCCCATGCGGTCGAGCTGGACAGGTGTGTAGTACCAAGAGGATCTTATACATTTGTTCCTTTACTGTAATACAAATTTAAAAAAAGGAGAAGCCTTGTCCTGAATATCACCCCAGATGTCACCATCCACCTCCCCATTAGATCTTGGTTCCACTAAGAAATATAATGCATCGGTCAGCACTAGAAATAAGACCCTTTCAATATGAACTCTGCAGGCAGAGATCTTCAAATGGAGTAAGAGGTAGACCTGCAGTTCCCCTCACCACAACCTGATTAGCGCAATCGCATATCTGCAGATAACATAAAAAAATATTTACTAAATAAAGGGAGTCTAGCCTTACTTAGTCACATATAAAACATAGGGAGGTCAAATCCCATCAAGTGGGGGATTAATTCTAGGTGAGGTGTGCCACATCAACATCTGCACAAACATAATTTTTAATTGTATTGATAAAAAAAGTCTCACTTAGTATAACTAAAAGTAAACAGAAAAATAAAATGACAAAAGTTGACAAAGTATCCCAAAACAGTGATAAAGTGATTGGTGCTTAAAAGTGAAATAAATTAGAGGGTGGAGGAAAAAATAAGTACTAATTATTCTCGAAAAGCAGTACACTGACTTAATGTACAATGTTTCTATTTAGATCAAAGAATCTGCGTTACTATATGGATCAAAAATGGTTGCAATATAACTCTAATGTGTCACAAATTTAATCAATTTGAGATATATACAGTTCTTAGTTTTATGCTACAGCTCAGAGTCAAGTTATATGAAATTTGAAATAAATAAGATTCTTAGTTTTATAACTTAAAAGTATATGAGATTGTTTATAGACACACATAATTAATACTAAATGCACATTCGATCAAATATTTATATTCAGTTGGAGTAATGGGTGGAGTAACAGTTCAACAGGTGGTTAAGCAGCCCCAGGTCTCTCTCCATTTTGATCTGTAAAGCACATTTCTCACTACCTATGCTGTTAATTACTCCAGATGAATGTATTGATAGATGTCTGGAAACTCTCTAGTTCCCCTTTTGTGACCAGGACAGGAAGAGAAAGAACAAGCCTAACCATGATATGAGTCTCTCCCCTCACGACTCCAGGTCCTTCTTGATACTGCGAAACGTTGCTGAGTAGTTCGGTTGAATAGTGACTTTGGATCATCAATGACCTGAATTCCAAGGAATTCATTTAATCTGCAATTTGTATGTTGATTTAACCAAACCCATGTCAGCAGCTGCCAGGTTCATGGGCATGGCACTGGATTTGTTTACATTAACCTTTTGGCCTGTTGAGTATGCATTAACTTTTAAGGCCATCACTATTATTTAAGCACTTTTCCCCATACATGCTGTTTGCCTTTTTAAAAAGATACTTGAAGCTGCTAAAAGGCTAGGAGTGCAAGCTCTCCAGTTTCTGTCAAATTCAAAGTTAAAATAAGTCTTACCTCTACCCAAAGTTCAAGTATAAACCGAAAATGGCTTCCTTGTTGCTGGTAGCTACTTTTTTTATTCTACTTGCGGGATATTAGGCCACAGGGCTTTAGGGGATAAACTTGAAACACTGCACATACTGGGGAATCTGTAATTGTGTGCAGTGGTCTAGTTACAACCCCAGCACACATGTCTTTGGCAGCTTGGAACTCTGTTCTGGACTGGCAATTGTAAAAAAATTACAAATATAGCATCTATTGTCACTGTGCTATGCACACTGGTAACAGATGTCATCTGATTCTTCACTTGCAGGTATCGCTGGCAACAGACGTTATCTGATTCTTCACTTTCAGGAAGTCTTTGGACTGTGTGTGCATGAGTTGCATGCACATCATCTCCTACTATGCCTGAATAGCCCCCCCCTCCCTTCCTCCACCACGGTTATTTTTTTAAATTAAAATATTCCCTCGCTCTAACAGTACCAGCCTTATTTTCTCCTTTGGTGAGATTCCTTCTTCTTGTCCACCATCTATCGACCCATATGTTACTTTTCTGTTCCACTCTCCTCCTCTGAAACTAATTTAAACATGTGCCAAAGGCCAATAGATATTCCTGATTGGGCAAAAATAAGGAAGAAGGTGATGCAACTCCACAAAAAGAGAGGTGTGGAAGAGAACCAGGAGAACTCAACACAGCACTGGATCTAAGGCTGGTTTTATACTATTTTATCAACTTTTACATTAGCAAAACAGAGGTGAGGAGACATAAAATAAATAGGTCCAAGTGCTTTAATGTACAGACTTTAAGTATTTAAAAAAACAACAAATATGAAAAACAGTCATTTATGTATGTCAGGATGAAATACTGCAAATGCAATGTAATGTAGCTAGATAATACGTACATGTTGTTATGAGTAACTTATCACAAGACAAATTTGATACATGCATTTTCAACTGCACAACTATGCACAATTAGTCTTTGTAATATAAGTCAGTTTTTTTTCAAACTGGACCTCTCATTACATAGTAAGTATCACTATTTTCCTAAAAGCATGCCCACTGTTTGTGAGCTAAAAAAAATGCTCTCTATACTGAGAAAAGTAAGCATTTTTTTTGAAAGAACAACTATAAATCCAATGTCAAAAGATAATTGTGTTCATGGAACCAATCATAGAATAAATAATGATGGATAGCAATTTTAATTTTATGGTTTTTTTCACAAATCATTGAATAACTGTAGCCAATAAATTAATGTCCTGTAAAGAAATTGCTGTAATATTCTTTGTGTTGTAAAAAAACAAATAAACTCTGAGTTTAAGGGTACTCTGGCACCCCCCCATCCCATTGTAGGTAGACAAACCATTTTAGAATGGGGTCCTGGGTCTTACACCTCCACTAACAAGGGACAATCAGATGTTTCTGCTTAGGAGCTTCTGTTTGCTGTCCTGAGCTTGACACTGCAGTGCAAATATAGCTCACCTAAGTGTCAACTGACTCACTGGGTTAAGCTCAGACAGAGAATGTCCACTTTTCGGTCTGAAGTAGTGGAGGAGACGAGCAGCACCGGATGATCACAGACTAAGAAGTCAAACTGTTCGAAAATTGTTTGACTACTTCCAATGGGGAGCACCAAGGTACTCATGGCACCACACCCAATACAGCACGCTGTAGTGGTTATTGTACGTGATCTATTTCTTAAAGGGGGGTTTAAAATACAGCAAATGTATAGGAAATGGCTGTTAACATGCATTATGTATACTGTCCTGCTGTCATGAGCATTACCAGCAATGTTCTTAATGATGTAGCGATGATTGAGTAAGATGTCCGTCATGACGGTTGAACGTCCCTTTACCTTCCCAGCCCACTTCATATATTCTCAGGCATAGGATGACAAAGGGAAGCCCACAGGTCACATGACCAAATAATGCACTCCTAAGCATCTGTTAAGGAAATGATGACCACTTTATATTTATTATATACTGTCATTGTAATGATAATTTAAAAAAAAAGAACAATAAAAGGAATTCACTGTCAAGTCTGACTTAAACATAATTTTTTTTAACCATGTCAATCCAAAAAAAAACAAGCAAACAAACAAACAAACAAAACTCAATAGATAAATAAGAGAAACAATATAAAACATATAAGAAGAAGAAATATATAATCACTAAAGATGAAATTGCTTATCTTCTTGAAAAACCGATATGAATCTAATTTACCCAACAGGGTAGTTCACTAAAGTCCAATTGGCCCTGCACCGAAAAATGTGGACATTGTTAAATAGCTCGAACAATGTCCAGATTTTCTGGAGCAGGCTCACAAAGAGCTTAAATTTGGGTGGGATTTCAGATGGTCCAAACAAAGTTGCTGTTGGCCAGCCAGCACATTAAACAAGCCTTTGAGGATTAACATGACCCCAATTTTACTAGGATCAATGGTTTAAACCTGTCTTATGCCCCACCTACCATGCCATGAGTGGAGGCATTTCTACTATACAGTGACTAAAAACAGTGTAACAAAAAACTAGCAACTGGACAGCAGTGGGTATGGAGTCTCGAAGTAAGTGGCCTCCTGTTTTATGCAAGTATGGAATTCATAATAAAGTTTACAGTAGTGTTTGCTGTGAACTATTCCACTGTTTCTGTTGCAACCCTGTAGTAACTGAGGCATGTTACCATTAAAATAACACAGCAATTATTTCCTAGGCCTATGTCGTCCTTTGTTTATGAATTGAGCAAAATTTTGAGGTAAGTAGAGCTTTTGTTGTGACAACTAACACAGTGGTGAGTATTTTTCACCTGCAGATACAAGTTATCCTTGTTCTCCCAAGTTATGACATCCTCATGAATTTGAAATATATGTTGTAGTTAAAGACTGGGCCAGTTCATGCACTTGTTCAGTAATATGATATTGAAGAAACATGCCACCTACTTCACTTTTTTCTAACATGCTCCTCAAACATTGCACCGGCTCCTAGGTCTATCTCACATAGCAAGCTCTTGCATAGCAAAAAGATGGAAAGACCTTTGCACACCTGGAGATGAGCATAGCTGTGCACACCTGGAGATGAGCATATTTGTGCACACCTGGAGATGAGCATAGCTGTGCACACCTGGAGATGAGCATACCTGTGCACAAGTGGAGATGAGATACCTATGCACAAGTGGAGATGAGATACCTATGCACACCTATGGACAACTGAACTATCATGATCTATAACATTGGGGATTCTAACATGTGTAAAATCTGCATTATAAGAGTAAACATAATAAATGTAAAAATGTGATGAGGTTACAATGTGAGAATATAGACAGGCTTTGTATTTCTTATAACTTTTTGTGATTTTAGGGCCTATACTATAATGAATGTAGTATTTCCTTTAGAAACACAGTGTGTGGTCTACAACCCATCCCAAACAAATACATTATTTTGACATCTTTGGCATTTATTTTAGCACTTAATTCTATCTTCAATAATTTAAGTATATACAGAAAACATCGAAAAGGCTATTGCAACCAAGTCACTTTCTACTTTTCATCGTCACATGAGTGCATGATAGAATTATCTTAGGGATTTAGCCACTATACCGTGAATTGTAGTTAACTGGGATCAGGGAAGCAAATATATATCAAAAGCAGAGATAGAAATATTATCTTTTAAATTATGGTAGCTTGTCTATTCTGTTTTATCCTAGATTTTGCAATTCCAGTTTGCAATTTGTGTTTGTGTATATGTATATATATATATATATATATATATTCTCACTGTTCAATCAACAAATGAAATCTACAAATTCAGACATTGCCTGAAGATAAATAAATCCCACCACTGTGGTGTAAGTCAGGCATTTTACCAATTACTAGGCTCTGGAAATTCTGGGCCTTGCATCTCAAAACTGTGACTCTATGCAGATCATTATTATTATTATTTATATAGCGCCATCACATTCTGTAGTGCCGTACATTCATGACACTAAGGTAGGCCAACTTACTACAAATAGTGGCATCAATTCATTATTCAAGATAGAATTTTATAGAATGTCTCCGGTGGAAAAAATCTATTAACCACTGAATACTATATGAGACAACGCCTGACATAAATCATATCATTTCTTTAATATTTTTACTCTATCCCGTGCTCTCTCCTTGCTGTGCAGCTTAACATATTCTGTGTTGCTACTGGCTGTTAGCTTAAAGGCTTTTCACTGCCTGTTTGTATATTTCTTATTCAGTGGTTTGTTCACCAGTCTGGCTGATAAAAAGAGTTAGCCAAGTGCGAAACATCTCACTTAAACCTACTGTATTTTAAAAAGCAATATACAAGTTTATTTGGCATTATTAAGCTGGATGTGTGTCCAGCAATAAATTACAATTGTCATTCCTGTAAAGCAATAAATGTGAAGTGAATTAAATAACAGCAACATGTACAGATTGAGGCAAGGAAAATTTAATTATCCATCACATTTATGTTTGTAAAACATCACCATCAAAATGGTGTGTATAAAATGCCAAGCATCTGCTGAGTGACACTGAAATGCCAGTGCTTTTAAAAGAGTGGACATCATCACAGTGCCCTAAAAATGGCACATTTTAAAAAGATGACATTAATGTAAAGCTAAGGTGATGGGATATCTACCTTCAGGATGCAATGGATAATAACTCATATAATTCTCAGCCAGCGGAAACCAAAGCTTCCTAAGAGACGCATCCTATGTCTCGATAATCAAACTGCATTGGAGTGCCCAGCTGGACTCATTATATTTATATACCTGTGTCTGAGACAATTCAATTATAAATTGTGGAAACTGATATTTTAAATGTGGCAAAATTTTTGTATGATTTTAATAATATTCCACTTTTAAAAGCCAATGTTTTAATATCAACATTTTCATTGTGAATAGTTTCTAACTGCTTAATTTCCAAAATGATATGATTTTCTTATAGTCTATCAGTAAGGTACATGACATGTTCAGTCTGTCTCTGGTGAGTTCCTGCCTTTCTTTTATAATCAAACTTCCGTGTTTATAATTATTATTGTCTGGTTACTTCTCTCTCTTTCCTTCATTAAAGCTATTACTCCCACATTTACGTGTCAAATTACTAAGGCCTAGGCTAATGAGAATTATTTTAAGTATTAAGCTTTATTAGAGGATCCTATTAAGAGGATTTTTGTTTTCATTTTTTATGTGGTATGTGAAAGGGTTAAAACCCAGACTCTTTTTTAATGCGGCATATGAGAGGGTTAAAATCCACCCTTCCAGTGATGGATATTTGGGTATTAGCATTTGCGCACAGTGTATTGATCAAAACACTGGCATGCATTTTATTTCAATAAAATATAAATGTGCTTAGAAGTAAATAGATGTTGTTCATAAAGATTTGTGAAGTAGATTATGATGGTAATGGATTCATTGATGGCCAGGTGACTTCTTTGACTTTCTAATTCTAACTTTTGTAAATAAACTTGGAATACCGTAATACAAATGGAACAAAGCCACTCAGGATACCGTACAAAATATAATGCTATCCCTGTTTTCTAGAAGACATTGTGGTTTCCTATAAGGAAAAATAAGCATATATTTTGGAGGTTGAGTATACCTCTGATCATACATCTTATGAATCTAGCTAATTATATGTTTTCATAATAATTGCTGCGATTATAGATTAAAATAGGCTTAAAAGATGAAAACGCATATATTATCTACAAACAATTGAAATGGCATAGGTAGCTAAACAGAGGAACCGTAGGGACATGATCTACTGATTTGATGATCAGAGTTAACCGGTGAAATCTGTAGACCATAAGATTAAGGTTTCATTATCCATGTTCTGAATTTAACAACATAATAAAGTTCCCAAGAAAGATGTATCATTCAGATCTATGGAGACTGGATTGCTATTTCACAAGCAACACATTGGATTTGTGGCTACTAAATTAAACTGGAAAATGTGAACTAGATAATTGCTTACTTGTATTGATTTTTTGGAGGGAAATGTGCTTTTCTAGCTGTCGCCGCAGTTTCACTTCAGCCCCATATTTTCCAGTGGTTCCATTGTCAGCAAGGATAAAGTGTGAGTGCATGCTGTTGAGTACTGTCAATTTACTCATAGGGTTTGACATGGTTTGGTAGGGACGAACCACCTTTAAAAACAAAAGAGATAAAAATAAATATATCAAATACATAGCATAGAATTAGTCTTTAAACATTCATCACTGCTTTACTCCATTGGTAAAGTAATAATTTTGACCAGAAATGGCCAGAGGTCCCACCAAAGGTGGTTCCACCATGTAAGGAAATAATGCAACTGCTTAGAGCCTTATTCACAGAGAGAACCCTACCTCTGTACCTACTTGTTGTACTGCTGATGCACTCATTAGAGTCTAATAAAAGGTATACTGCAAACACCATAATCACTATTGCTCACTGTAATGGTTTTGGAGCAGAGGCTCCCTGGTGCTACTCATTGTGAGTGTTCTTACCTGGGATTAGCATGCTGTGGTGGTTATGGTACGTACAATGTTTGTTTAAAATCAGAGAGGAGTTAGATCTTTGTTTTCTGAGTTTTAAATGTCACTTGGTTGTGTAAAGAAATGTCAGGGTGAGTCAACATGTGCCTTCATGACAGCACACTAAATATAGCATTAGAGTCTAACCATGAAAACAAGATGAAGCAAGAAAGAGGAAATAATGTATATGCAGTGGAAAGAGGTGAGGAGCATTGAAGCAGAGTGTGTGCAATTGATGAGCACATATTGTGAACATGGAGGCTGTGGGGAGCATGGGTGAGGTCTGTAATGGTATTTGTTCTGGTAGACATGAAGGGGATCATGGCTAGGACATGTGCTGCGATGACAGGAGATGTGATAGGAATTGGGCAGTGATAATGAGTATAATATAAGGCTCGTGTTTCTTTTTGGTCTCCTTT